ATTATTTATCATTTTTGTTTTTAATGGTTTGATAAATACATAGTAATTAAAGGCCATTCACTCGATACTCTCTTTATTGTTGCATACGATTGCAACACCCCTAAAATGACGAGAAATATATTCTTTTCAAATTCAAATGAAAACCTTATTTTCAATAACGTGCGATTCGATGATTCTTAGTACTGTTAAGGTAAATGATTGAGTGAAAGCATCACATTTAGATGTGGGATATTGTTTATTTATAAACCTCTGTCAACTGAATTCTGTCAATCAACCATGAATCATCGAATACAACCACTCAAATTAAAAACTAGAGTACTGAAGTTAATTTCTGTCAGTAACAAAAATATAAACATGACATTAGTTGTCAACCAATAACTAGGTTTTGTACTGAAAATATCACTTAAATCAGTATCAGAGAGTAAGAAACTACTAATGATATGAAAGTACTGTGTGCTGTCTGAGGAACCATGTAAGCTTATCATAATATATCCAACCAATTAAATAGTTCTATTTTAAAAATATATTCCCTTAATAAATGGAGAAATTAAAGTAATTCGAAATGACTATTTAATACTACTATAATCTAAAATTACAATACTATAGTGAAGTTTATTCCTCAAACGTTTTACGTTGAACAGATTGGTTTAACTTTGTGCACCCAGCAATGCCTATAAAGTTATTTTCTTATGAGTTTACAATGTTATTCTGTTGATATCTTCGTAAACATACATGTTTGGTTCTTCCTTATACTTATATTTAAAAAATATCCAGGTTAGTACAAAGCACAGGAGGATTTCCAAATTCATCTGAAATAATCTAAAAACTATAGACAATGAATCTTTGCTACTTTTTAGAAAATAGCATAAATCCTACGACTGTCAAGCAGTTGGATAAAAGAACCAGAAGCATCTTTGTTCGAGTCGACCGTTTATGAAGTGTCTTTTCCCACTGAATTTCACTAAAGTGTGTCTTTGTTATTGAGAACTGAACGGTCAATACATTTCTTTGTCGCACTAACATAAATAAATCTCGAAAACTTATAAACACTATTTATACTGAGAATTTTTTGAGAAACAGTATTTAGTCCTCTGCTATCACCAATTTGATTTAATAGATGATGGTTACAGTTGATCAGAAACATCCGATATCATAGTATCGGTCTTGAACTGTTTTTAGAGATCATAGTGACACTGATGTATTACATTAATATAAAGAAAAATGATTTCTCAAATTCATTCATTCATCAAACTTAAAAAACCGTGATTCAAACACTTCATTTATTACTTAATCACACATTTTGTCTACGCTGTCGTCCCATCCGAGAATTTGGACTTTAATGGACAATAAACATAATTAAAAGTATTCCTACCGACGCAGTAAGCATTTATAGGAGTAAACTCGATGTATCATTTTGCTTAGCCTCGGTTAAACCCACTAATCCTTTGAACGACAGAGGATAGAACTTTCTCACTACTAAATTTTCATCTGTGATAAAGGTTGGAGTTTATATATACTCTGACTCCTGTCAAAATAACAATATGCTTTGCTAGTTACAAAGAACTTAACAATTCTAAAATAAACATACAAAACCGAACATCCTTTTCGTGAAATCTGAGTTTTGATTTTATTAGATGTCTTATGCTAATCTTATTGACAGTACCTTCGTAATTATAGGGCCCATATATTTGCTGATCCATTCGTCTTGTATAAAAACTTGTGATTCCATGAGTTTGAAATATTGTCTCTTGTTAACACTTTAATGTCAACATAAAATTTTAACATATAACTCGTTTCGACTAGTGATTCTACTCACCAAACTAATACTGTTTCAATTAGTCTTTATTACTAGGTCGGTATGGCTGCTCTATTTTTAACTTACCCATTAAACAACTTTTCCTTGTATTTCAGTGCAAAACTTCTCAGAAATCTATTTTATAAAATCAAAGTTCATTTTAATACCTCTTAGAGATCTGAAATCATTGTCTCAATCTCCATTTTTGCCAATGAAGTTTATATCTAAACGTGATTCGTCATTAAATTCACTTAGTATTATTTACTTGTATTTTCCATTGTTGTTCAGGACTGAGACTGATCAGTCGCTTATTGGCATATGGGCATCAACAATGGGGAGATACAAATAAACAATGACAAGTCAATTTAAACTTCAACCCACTGCACAAACTAGTGGCTATCGGAACTGAGTGGCTAAGCGGATAACGTGATGGTGCTTGAAGTGGACAGTACTGGGTTCGAGTTCCGGAGTGGACATTAACTCTAGGACGCGGGTACACCTAGCTAACGAGTCCCAAATGAGATGGATCCCACTACTAGCCACCATCTTTGCTTGTAATTCGTCAATATCTTACTAACTTCAATTTTCATACCCGGTATATTTAGCTGAATTGTTAGTTATCCCTTACTAAACATGAAGTGAAATTCTTATGAAAATTACACAAACAGTCATTAGACTGAGGAAATTTTAACCTCATCTGGTCATCAGCTTGTTACAACTTTCCTCAGATATATTCCTATATAACATTCCGTAACACCAAATTCTGCATCCTGTCTTATATTTTAAATTTTGGTAAATTGTGATTAGATGACCCATGGCCCTAAATAACGTGTCGTCTTAATTCGCATTATTTTTAGTCCAAAAGTTTGCGACTACTTAAAATATTCAGTCTGACAATAGACTATTAACCGAGTTCTTTGTTGAAAAAAAAACCATGCTTATTTATTTGAAGCAAAATGAAATACGCGTATGCACAACCAAAAAGTATATATATGTAGTGACATTTGTCATAATAACATATCCACACTTATCTTACTATTAAACCAGTTGATGCTGTATACAGCCTTGAATCATAGTTTGAACGCCTTTTATGTTTTTATTTCTTAGTATAGGTATGATTAGTGTCACCAATGTTCAATGTAAAATCAAATTCTATGACTTGTCATCTGGAATGCAAAAAGCGCAACAGTTTAAACTGGTAGTACATAAACTTTCAAAAAACATTCATTTCTTAGGATAATCCTACTGTTTGAAATTTTCTGGGAAAATCTATCTTCTATCCAGAGAATTATTAGATCGAAATTTTTTTTATGGAAATAAGGAACTTAATTATTTAGTGTTCATACTGTCGTAAAACAGGAAAACTGGTTTGTTCTTATAATATTATTTGTGAGTTGAACTATTTTGTGTTTGTTTGAAAAGTAGGAGAGAAACATCAATGAAAGTAATCAACGCTAACTGTAGTAAAAATATATAAATCAGCAACTACCGTCCATAGTTTCAGAAGATGGAATGTTTCAAAAGTCTTTGACAAGGAATATACGAAATTCGAAGTAAAAATTTAAAATAGTATGCTCGTAAACTTTGAAGACGTAGGGATTTAGTAGGCTGTGTATGATTCTAAAAACTGAGTACCATAATTTTAGATTCTTCATTTTAGATCATTTGTACTGTTCTATGACAACGTACATGTCAATCAAATTGTCAACAAATACATATTATGGACACTTGTAGATTAGATAAGAAAATGAACGGAAATCAGTTTCCTTATTTGGTAGACTAGTCATGAATTCTAATGCTTCACTAGGATTTTCTTCCTATTCAATTAGCTCACGTATAATTTCGCTCATGATAAGCTACACAATGAATTATTTGCAGTCAGATGAAGATTTTCGATATTAAACAACAGCTTAAACCAAAATATAAAGATAAGGTATCATAATTGATTGAATAAGAAAATCTCAATGGATGAGATCATGATTCAAATGAAGCTGAACCACCATGGAATACCTGGAAGCACTGGATGGCCGTTTTTTTCTATTGTGGGACTCCTCAGCAGTGCGCATCCACGATCCCGCCGCCGCGAGATTCGAACCCAGAATCTACCAGTCTCGCGCACGAGCGCTTAACCACTAGACCACTGAGCCGGCATCCAACGGTGTTAATGTCTAATTACTGAGGAGTCTCATAATAGGACGAAATGGCCGTCCAGTGCTTCCAGGTTTTCCACGGTGGTCTAGCTTCAATTGACTCATGATCTCAACCATTGAACTTACTATCATATCAACAAAACCCTTCTGATATGAATATGAAAATCATCTGTTCAATTTTCAGAAATTTAGATAAACTTTAAATGACTATTAATTAACTTTAATATGAAATGTTGTTCACTTTCATTTCTAACTAATTTGCATATAAATATTAACAATAAAAATTCTAAAAAAATGTGGTTAATAATCAATAAGAACATGGATGGGGTTTAAACATGAAGTATATTTAATGGGTGAATGTTAGCAGAATGATAAGCATATATATATATACTACATGTACATAGAGCATATGAAAAAGTATGTACGATGGAACTTGCATATTATTAAGCCATGTGCAGTATTTATTGGTTAGGCGCTAATATAATTTGAATAATATAGAATTAATGTTTATATTGATATGTATATAATGAGAAAGCAAGTAGAATAACACATGTCAGGTGACTAATAATAAATGTCCGCATAACAATAAAATGAAGTTAGATAAGAGGGTTTTTTCTAGTGACTTTTTCTAAATTAAACGTTATTCGCTTTTAAAATGTTTATTTGTAACACTTTCAAGATGGGTTAAGCGTCTTAAATAAGAAGAAAAGACGAGTGAAATTGAATTTTACAGGATACCTTTTCTAAACTGTTCACTTTTTACAGTTTTGTTTTGTTTTTGTTTTTCCAAAATCGAAACTTTTCCTAGGCGCTAATTTAACTCTGGATGTGTGTTTAACCGATCAGTACGAAGTACACTGATGACAAAAATGTGTAACCATAATCAAATATTTATAACTTGACAGTTTCGCATTTTATAATTTGTATGATGATCCTAGGTATTTGTATATAATACGTTAAATAAATAGGGTATATGTGCTGAAGATAAATTCAACTGGGATATTAGGTGAGACAGAGATATAAAGCAAATAAAATGGTGAAATTGTTTGTTTTCTCTACAACAATTGCATTTTCTCCCTTGAATATCGTGTCAGCAGGTAGATAGAGATAACCGCGAATGTAAACTATGGAATAAAAGGAAACAAAAAGAAAATATAGCAATCATCAAGTAGGACGGTTGATAAATGATAAATGAATTTATAGTTATTTGTGTGGTGGTGTTTTATGTTCGTCATATGTTGCTTTTTGTAGGTTAGACTGCTCGATAGGTTTCGATTTTAATTAATTCACCCATTAATTTATCAGTTAAAATAGCTATCTATAAGCTGAAATCTAATGATCCTATTATAGTTTGACTGACTTCTGTCCAGAGACATTTGTTCACCATATTTTATAACAGATCATCACAAATAAATAATAAACGTACAGCTTTGGTAGCTATAAATTGATCTTGTCTTTTAAACTAGTGAAAAAAAAGAAGTCATCATTCTACTTTGGAGCAAAATTCTGGAGATCTTGAACAACATCATTTTAGAAAATGATTTTTTCTAGTCAAACCATTAATTTCTAGGAAACATTGACTAATACCTTTAATCTTACTGTAGACCATTTTTACTTCCATTAACAGCTCCAAAAGTAATTAGGACTGTACTCTACTGCCTTGACTGAAATCTCAACTATTTCTTCGGGGATGTAGCAACTTATTCTCCCTGTTGATTCATCATAACAATGCTGTGGTGGCAATTAAGCAAACCTGTTAATCAGTGCTTAATTTCATAAATTAATGACCTATGAAGTAGGAATCATGCAGCTATTTACTTTTTAAATCAATCTTAATCATATTGATTTGGTAAAAAAATGTTTGTACACAGGCACGCAGTTTTATCACATGAACCAACTTATTTTCTGTTCTGTTTCTTAATATCTTTTCAGTAGCTCATTGCATCAGTAAGTCACCTGGCTACAACCAGATCAAACGGTTAGTCACGTATTATTTTTCCCCGTTATAACATCTAGAACTGAAAGGACTCAAAATACGAGTTAACACGTGAATAATTAATTTAACAGTCACTTCTTATCAGTATAAGGATGTAGAGATTGTTGAGTTTTTATTGAGTTCATGAATCAATCAATTTTAGACAACCATTTAAAACCTGGAAGCACTGGATGACTGTTTCGTCACAGCATGGGATTTCTCGCGCGCGAACGTTTAACCTCTAGACCACTGATCCCACATCCAACGGTGTCAATGTCTAACGTCAATCAATCCACAGTACTGAGTGACCATTCTGAGTGTTGGATCGTGGATATACAATACCGAAGAGTCTCATACTAGGACGAAACGGCCTTCCAGTGCTTCCAGGTTTTTAATAATGGTCTAACATTGATCGATTCATGATTTTAATCACTCCTCACTTTTGAATAGTCCAGTTACATTTATTTCTCCGGTTATTTTGGATTCAAGTGTGGTATTTATTGTTTGGCATAATTACAGAAAACGTACTCGGTGATACTGTCAGTTATGGAATACTTTGATAATGTTAAACAAGCAGTATACTAAACTTTTTATTCAACTAATTACTACGAATAATGAAACGAATCCATTCTATTTCAAGGCTTCTAATCAGTTGCAAACAGCTTGAAGTTACAAAGAACAATGTAATTAGAAACAACGGTATGATCCATTTTAGTTGGTCAACTTCATACTGATATCTGAAACGAATCTGCAAGTCACAAAGATCAACATTGAATACAAGATTCAGTACTGCAGTAAATTAAAAGTATCACATAATATACGTCAAAAATAAAATAAACAACTGGCAATGTAAATTGGAGTTAACTACCGATAATTATGATAAAATATTATCAAAGACTAGACAATAATTATAGGTAATTAACTCCAATTTACATTGCCAGTTGTTTATTTTATTTTTGACGTATATTATGTGATACTTTTAATTTACTGCAGTACTGAATCTTGTATTCAATGTTGATCTTTGTGACTTGCAGATTCGTTTCAGATATCAGTATGAAGTTGACCAACTAAAATGGATCATACCGTTGTTTCTAATTACATTGTTCTTTGTAACTTCAAGCTGTTTGCAACTGATTAGAAGCCTTGAAATAGAGTGGATTCGTTCCATTATTCGTAATGTTTTGGCCTTGGTTAAATTAATGAAGGCACCATGTTGTATATAGTTACTATGAATTAGATGCTGAATTAAAAAATAAGTTAATTAACTAACCGTAAGTAATAACAGACCAATCAAGATATAAAGAATAATTCGATAGCTTGGTTGTGCCGCTGACCATAGAAACTCGAAACAGCCCTGAAAAGGGTGAACAAAAATAGAAAATGAAAGGAGTGAATGAGAAAATTATATTAAATTGTAAAATGACCCAAATATAAGTTCTTTTGCCCACTCGCTTGAACTATATTTCCGTTTATAACAAATGTGAATCATAACTGAGTGTATAAATCAATATAGATGAAAGAACTTTTGAATGTATAAACAAGTGACTGAAAATAAAATGCTTAAAATAATTAGACCACATGACACTGAAGTGACATGAGGCAAAATAAGCACCTTTTGACGACTAAGAATAAAATATACTTAAACATTACAATAACAACTTTGCCGACTTCTGTCTTATGTTCAGTGACTGTATATAGTTTTTGTCACGAAGTGATATAACCTGAAAAACCAGTACAGACTTGACAACACTGGATGCATATGTCAAGCCTGTCTAGCGCTCCTGCATGGAGTAGAGGACGTGGGTTCCAGGCTTCGTGACAAACACAATATCTTTAAAGAGCAAATTAGTGACCGAATGTTCAGTCCACATTTCAAATTTAAACCAATGATTGGTATGAATCAAGTGTAATTTCAGCTGTACTTTCTGTTTTTTTGTAATCAGAAGGGTAAAGTATGACAATCTATACTTCCGGACTAATGGCATTTGGGTTGGACTTTACAAACTACTTCTGATTTTCTCTCGTAAAACGTTGATACTTTTGGATTCTATTAATCAATGGTGAGGTATATCTCCTACAATGTTTAGCTCCTAACTCGTATTAAATCAGATCTATTTGACTTAAATTCGTTGCGTTAACTGCAGCACTGTTCTATAGATCTATCAAAAGTTAAGTCTTATACAAATAGTCCAATTGTTCATAATTTTGATAGTGTTAGACCAAACAGGTGTAATCCAAACCGTTCCTGATATTCTTTTACTCTGTATACCTGGATAATTCCACTCTTGAAAATAACAAAAATTAGTAGGACACTACAGGGCTTTGTAGAAAGTTTGTGATTTGTTTAAAAGCATCTAGTAATCTTGAAGCTAAGTTTAAACGCTGACTCATGATGAGTATAATATCTTTTAAAATCAGGCAGAACTGAAAGTCGAGTTTGACCTGATTTAGTACTTCTCTATGATCCATTTTATTTATCCTCCTCGGGATTGAATTCATTACCACCGAGTTTCAACTTGGAACATAAATCTCAAAGAAGGCCAGTAATTAGTGGTAAAAAATAGTTGTTATTTACCATAGCCATACAGATAAAATTAACATATCTTACTTAGCATAACTTTTGGACCTCCATATAGGTAGAATCATTGATTTCATTCTCTTGCGGTGGTTTTCAAACTATTCTTCCACTTACAAGTAACGAATGTAGTCTTTTCTTATGTAAAGTCCGTAACTTAAGCGTGGCAATAAAACATCACTTCAGTTATCCGGTATGTTTTAAAGCCAAGGATAATGGTAATACTGAAGGATGAAACAGAACATGACATGCCAAGTACCACCCGTAAAAAAGTTTACAACAAGCGTATTCTCGGATGTTTATTGGAGTATTCTGCTTAACCGTTATATAATTTAAAGCCTGTAAATTCTCATATTTAGTTATTGAAAACTGAGATGCTATCTTAGTGAACAATGTTTAAATAGATACTATAACCAGTGTTCTGATTTTATCGAATAGAAGTGCGAGATATTTGTCTAACATTTTTCAGACAATAATAGTGGGAGGATAGTTACATACTGGAATATAGATAATCGAACTCCTTAACTTTATTTGAAAACTAAAGCATAATCATTGATAATAATATGAGGAAGAGGCTTGAATGAATATAAAGAATTGTATTCTAAACAAATTTACATTTTATCATTAATAGCATTTTTCAGGTCAATATTTGATCTAACGACCTGTGCTGTTGACAAAATTCGTTTCATCAGTTAAGGATTCACCAACAGGCATTATCTATATAAACCAAATACTTGAGTTTATCAACTATTATACCCATGAGATCTTTTTTGTTTTAATAGTTCAATTAAGTAGAGAAAACATGTTTATATCTCGCTGTAAATATGGTATTATTGTTGACGTTTAGCACTTTCAAAACCAATTAGTGTTCTTAGCAGTTATTCTGGAAGTTACTAAATGTCTCAAAGTTATTTTTATCCCTCATTTATTATCAGATATCATGCTTTATTATCACATTCATAGACCAATAGTCGTAAAGTATGAACTAACATATCATTATTAGATAGATATTGGTTTTCACGATATTCATTGTAAAAAAAACAGTTCATTAGTGAAAACACATGATTTCTTCGAATGTTCTTTTCAGTATCTCCGATATACAACAACAGCCGTGGAGCTAATTTTCTGTTATATTAAGTCAATTAGCTTAACATCTACTAAACACTTATTATTTTTTATTTTATCTTGCTACATTAAGAGTTGGTGCCAAAATATGTGTATCTATGGTGGTCATGTTATATACACAATGCAGTTCTAGGATAAAAAGTGGCCTTTTTGAAAAATATTAGTGTTTATCGATTTTCTTTTATGTGAAAAGGTAAAGATTAAAACTCACAGTGTCTTTATAACTATTCTGTGTTGTTGGACGTTCCCAGCATTCTTTGTCTTTTATATCTTTACAACAAGAGGCTGGAATCTTATCTAAAAAATAGGAAGTTTAAGTAATTAAATTAATTAATTAACTAATTGATTGATTGATTGATAAAGTTCGATATTAATACTTGATTTTACTACCGACTAGTAAACTCCTCAGTAATATGTGTGTTAACAATTTTTTGAATCTCTGTTTATCAATGCTACTAAATCATTTGTATTTCTCAAGCATACATTCATTTATAAAGTATTCGACTACTCAGAGCACTCTTCGAATTCCGAATAGTCTTAAATGTACATTTTGATAATCCATCAGTTATCCGAATGAATCTGTTCAAAGTTCATTAAGTTAAGATTAATTTCAACTTATCTATTTCTAGTTGTAAAGTAGTTTATTTTTTTATAACTTAACAGTATTTTAGAATACTGATTCTATGTTAGAAAATACATAAAAAAGAAACAGACCACGTGATTGTTTCCTCATCATATTTAATAACTTACCATGTATAAAGTTGATTCAGTTATTAGAGGTATTTCAATTATTTTAAAGATATGTGTTGATGATTTTGTTTAGAAAAACAACGAAAGCTTCACAGCCAAACAATTTAACTCAAAGAACATAAAACCTTCAAAATGACATAAAATATAAATTACAGTTTTCTGGGCAACTCTGTGGTATCACTTTCTTAAAGTTACCCTTAAGATTAATTTCAAATTACTCCACTTGGTGAAGACAGCCTTAATTAAAGTTACATTTCGTGATAAACTTCACGTATGACACCCTAAAATTATTCAAATAGATAAAATTCAATGTCGTTAGATGACGAAAGACTATCGACTCATATTACGCTTTGCTACAGTTTAGGTTTACAATCAGATTAATATTAGATAGAGCATTTTTAACAGTATTCTTTGAATTAGTTGTTAGATCTATATTTAAAACCACCTACATACATTATCGATGAGGACCTTATATTGACGATTATAAGAGCATGAACGTAATTTCTGATCCAAAAATGTATCAGATTGCAGAGATGTGAGGACGGACCACGGGTGAACTCGAGAAAGCTGTAAGAGGCTCAGAAGGAGCCGAAGATATCCATCCAATCACCTTTCGGAAGAATATTCTAGAATCCTTATGTGTAGCTTCCCGATTGGACAATGCTAATAACTTCCTGTATATGGATTGGAGGACTGTAACGATGATTTCGTTCTTACTAAAAACTATAAATACCTGACAATTTTGTACTATAATTGACACTGTCTGGAACAATATTTCTTTCACTAGTCTTCTGTCTTCTCATTGAGACTTGGAAGGGTTCTGGCGTTCTAGTGCTCAAGTTATACGCGGTATATCAAGGAAACAACCATCTAGATCTAACAAGAGAAGACTCATTAAAATACTTTCAGTTCTGAACAGGATTGAAGACAATATGGATCAATTGTTTAGTTCCACTTTGTACTGAATGTATCATGTGGTCCTGCAAGGGATATTAATGACGCAGCAAAATCCAACGAAATATAAATATTTATAGATAAATCAATCTGACGCTGTTCTCGGTAATATAAAACAGACTTCGTGTGATTTAATTAAAGAAGGGAAATAATAAATCATATTTCAAATAATCTATAAATATGAACATATAAAAACGTTACTTTCCAGTAAATCTTTGAATGATTAGAACAAGGAATCGCACTTACAATTTTGTCGTTTGAATGATTCATTATCTTGGAAGTCACGATAGTCAAAAGAACCACAGCATTTATGCTTGATTTGAATAAAAATAGATAAGTGTTTAATTAATCAGCTAAATAATGATGATAAAAATATTTTCTGAAATGTAACTGAATATCATCTATGGGATATCTGCTGATTTTTAAAATATCCTTGTGGAAGCTTACACTTCATTTATACCAGTCATAATTTCATAGGTGACATTGCTTTAGTAACCAACAAACACTTATGTGAGTTTCTAGAAACTTAAGTTTTATTTCAATTTGACTAAGTACACTCGTTTTCTTTAAAATTGTCAAAATTAGTGGTTTTGCTGAACAACTGCACAAATAACAGTGTATGTGACCTACTCTCACCTGTGATTCAAGTATGCCTAGTTGACAGTGTTCAGTGAACACTTGAAAAAGTACGTGGATACAGAAAAATCCCATAAATAAGGATTTATTTCATCAAACAACTGTTATAGTTAAGCTTGCACACATTACTCGATAAAAAATCACTTAATTAGGAAATGTAAAAAGTAATAAGCTTTTTACTCAGCTATTTATGGTTTGATATTTGCATCACTATATATGAATTATATATATAATGTTACTGATTACTTAATCGATATAACTAGGACCATAAGTCAACCGTTTTACCACTTAATAATTATTTACATGTATCTGTCACCCTACTTTTAGAAAATGGTGATAAATTGCTGAGTCTACAATCTCTTTTTCCTTTTAAAAAAATGTAAAAACAAATACCGCTTACTTATAATTTCTTATAACTTTAATTACTTCAATGTTCAAGTACCCTTTCTTTAATCTAAGTTATAACAGCTTACTTATTGATACATAACCTTTATTTTCATCAGTGATTCTCCATGGACTATTCAATATGTAATTTCCGATCATTTAAATTTTTATCGTATCTTTATGTTAGAAACAATAGCCTTTATTTCAATTAATAAGACATAATTAAGTCGGAAGTGAATTGTTCTGTATTCATGGTTTTGTATTTTATGAAGTGAACTTGATTTTAGTGTGTCGTTACGTTAAGTCTTAGTATTAAAATTAGCTGTTAATAGATTACTTGTATTCATCGGAACAAAAGAATTAGTGAAAAGTGTATTTGTGCAAGTTTTGAGACATTTTATCTATCGTCCAGCTTTCTCAGCATGTAGAACATAACATAGAAAGTTGATCGAAAACTCTAAATGCGATTTTCCTATTTCTTGTTCAGTAAGCAAACATACATTTATAAGGCTGTTAGTTTAATGAACTTAGTCAACAGTAAATCTAAATAGGATACTTATTTTTTATTTCCATACACATAAGCAGTGGAAATAACGCATATAAATGTCTAAAATCAAAGCCATGGATCTTACCTTTCGTTGAATTTCATTAACAAATACAGTAAAACCGGTGTTTGGTGGAAAATTATTGTCCATATGATAATCACTAGTAATTGATCTTCTATAACTTATACCCAGCTCATCACGGAACTGGAATTTAAATACATAATATAAATAAACTCAATGAAATATGACATGTATAAACAAGAGATAAACTACAACAACCGAAAAAAATGGGAATTATTCATAGGTTATTTTATTATGGACGTTTAAACAATATGTCTGACATGAGTAAATGAGATGTTTGGATTGGCTAACGTAATGAAAACGAAATTTGAGAGTTTTACATTTAGGAATATTTGGAGAGCTAATAATAGTCAATAAAGTGAGATTTAATATAAGGGCATATTCGCGATCTGTACAAGATCATACCAAGGACCTTTAAATGTTATTCGGAACATATTATTCATCTACTGAGTTGAAACTCAATGGTCCTCATTTTCTGTTTTTTGGTAAACTGTCATCATCCTATGTTGTCAGAGCCATTTCGTTTCAGTTCCGATCAGGCTGACTTCAAGTATCATAATTTTGTTAGATCTGAATGACATTCATCCTAAAGCTAGTTAGTATTGAGAAATTGTTATTCAAATAATGCTGGTTCTTGAATGAACACACCTCCCAATGATCCAAATGCTCCCAATTACTCACTTGAAGATGGGATACATATGAATAAGTAATGTAATTCCGGGTATTGTCATTCAATATGATTATGGGGTGATTTCAACCAATAAACACATTTTCTTGTAAAGTAGTCCTGATTGTTCAGTACTGTCTGTGGTTTTAAAAGCCAAATTAGTTACTTCTGTGTAGTACTACTTATATAATATTATACAATTAAATTCAGAATTTCTAAATAAAAACACTCCTCTTCTTTTTGTCTAACTGCACTTACTAAGTTGATGAGATTTATTACACGTTATTAATAACAAATCTTATATACATTGCTCTATACAGAGAAATTTGCCCTTTAAATTATCAGAAACCATGATATTTATTGTGTACCAGTTACGTAACTTTTTCACCGAAATGCTAGATGCATTAGGAATTAAACTAAGTGTGAAGGAATAGATAAATCAATGTGGCTTTCTTAAGTTTGCCTATAGACCTTATAGGTTTGAAACCATGATTTATTTCCAGCATTGTGACCATCTTTGATCACACCATTAAAATCCATAAGAACGGAAACAAAGGAAAGCTTTAAATGGCAAATAACCGAAGTATTTGCAATAGTGAGTAAGAAAGTTGTTGACTTGACAATGAATTCGCTAATTTTTGTCAACAAACGACAAGAAAACTCTGACGAAGTGATCAATGGTACAGTTTGTGTATTACAAATGAAATGCATTATAGGGATAGGGATAAATTGAGCCTGAAACTGATAAATTACCAGGTCTAATAATTTAAAAGCTATAGTACCAGTGAGGTTCTCATTTTTTACATTGACCAATGACAGAAGCTCACAAAAAATCACATTTGAAAAATGAGCAAACATTGCATGTACCATAGATCATTATCGTCTAGATATTCCTTATGAACGACAACGGACTGAGTGTTTCGCATTCTTGCATCCTTTGGTGGTAGCTCCTTTCTTCGAAATTTCCTAATGGCAATTCTGGTACACTTGGAATTTACAACTGGAGTAAATCTGAATGACTGTTTTTCTCTTGTATTTCAAAAAGATGCCTGTTAATACAACCACTTAATCAATTACATGTGCTTAGTGAATAATTTAAGAAACTTGACAATTTGTTTCATAATGATCTTTACAGTGTAGATGCATGAAATGTGTTGTGAGTAACTAATCATAGAAATCTAATAGACATAAATGGTATACAGTCATAATCTTTATTGATTAATTTCCTCCGTAATATTTGCTCGGAAGTTAAAAATAGAGAATACTAAAACATAATCAAACTAAACGATTGTTATAAATAAATAATATATTTGTAATATCCCAGTGAGTAGAAAAATGAGATTTTCTGACGTTTCGTGACTTAGTGCAAGTCACTTCTTCCGAGAATAAATCCAAGTTTAAACAGTACTATTTAAACTATTTAAACAATCTACCCAATGCTCAATTTATTCGAAATTATCAAATCAAACCTTGATAATGATACCTATAAACGATTGTTAGTTTAACGATTTTTATGTAACCGTATATTAGGTTAAAAAAATACGCGGTACTTGCAATTGCTCGAAGCTGGTTATTGGGTGAGTAAAGTACTATTACATGTTAAGAATTAGGCTTTTTCAGTGTTTCTTTCCAAATACGTCTATTGTCATAATTAAAATATTAGACTTTCCTGTCTTCGAAAAAAATAACTAGTTTAACAAAACCAAATAATACTAAAGCATGCAATCATAGGAGTTTACTATTTTATTTAGTATAATTCATTATAAAAAGAATCAACCCACCCAGTGTTTACGTGTTCCAAATACAATAGTGAACACAAGCAGCGCCAAAAATATGACTAGAAGAAATGCTGCATACTGAAATAAATGTTATATGAAACAACAGAAGTATCAAAGAAATATAAAACAAGTTAGTTTATCTCCATAATATTTCTGATGGTTAAGAAACGGTTTAGTTAAGCGATGAGAATAGGAAGTCAATGTCAATCAATATGTGTTCAAATTGAGTTATTTGTTCATTTTAGGCTTTGTACAGTAGACATTCCAGCATCAAGCTGGATAGCATCATCATTTCAGAGTTACTCCTATTCAAAAATTCACTGACGAAGATATCTGATTTAGTATAAAAACATGTAAAATGAAATTAAGAATTAAAAAACCATCCAGTTTGAACAGATATTACATGAGCTGTAAGCAGTAGTTTATCTATCAATTTTAAAATGGTCCATCTTTCTTTTTCGTCAGTGTTAATTATTTTCTGTAAACTGTTGAACTAAATGAGTTATTTAAAAAAAAACCCAGTATGCTACAGGTTTCAATCTCTACCGATTAAACATTTCCAAACGTGTGTACATTGCGCAAACATACTAAAAAGGAATGATCGACTTAGTATAGTTATGCTGCCTCATTTTAAATTAGAATAACACAGAGATTGAGGGAATGACATTACCGATACCAATATTATTAGAGAACTAGAAAGAATAACGAATACGGTAATAAGAAATAAAAGGTTATATTGTATGGAATAATAAAATATATTTAGAAAAATTTAAAGTATATGAATAGTGAATTGATTTATACTACTGTTATTGTTGAGAGATAAACGAAAAACTAGTATATTTGATATATTC